ACGGTTAACCACCCGGTTCAGCGGTTCGCTGACCAAAATCAATGGTTTTGGGGGGAAATATGGTTTATGGGAAAACGGAACCGGTCAGGTGACCGGTTCCCGGTTTTTCTGATCCGGTTTTGAAAACCATATGTGAAAAGACATAAATATCTTTTAGGTATCATCTAATTTTCTTTATCAATCATCCAAATGCCCATTTCTTGAAAAGTCTGAACCATCTCTCTTCCCTCTTCTTTCTTTGATCTCTGTTTCTCAACTCCTCCCACTCTCATGCTTAGGTTTAATGGCTGTGAGCATTACCATTCCTCTGCAAAACTTGATACCCGAAACTTATACCTCTGTTTCATCTTTTTGAGGAAGGAGATGATGAATAGTGTTTTATTTTGAAGGGTAATTTTGATATTTTCAAAAATTTCAAATTACATGTGTTGTCACGTAATACACAAGTTGACACACTTTAAAAGTTTAGGTAGTGAATTGACATGTTTTAAAATTCAGAAACCAAAGTGAGATTAAACCCAAAATACATGGTACTAAATTACTAATCTACAATTTCTTTTAAAAATAAGAATCAAGCAAATATATACGCTCATCATATATGGCCCAGGCTTTAACTTTTGATCGAATTGCTTGCTTTGTTGATTGCTAGACACAAATTGGGAATACTTGGTTATTATATGAATTGAAGCTTTTAGAAAAAAAAAAAAAAAAGCTTAACAAAATTTAGGGCCCATTTGGTAGGGCTTAACTCTGTTTTCATGCTTAAAAAAAAAGAAGAAAAAAACATGCAAATGCAATGACCAAATTTGCCTCTACAAATTTCTTTAACTATCAGACATTGCTTGTAGACTTGTCCCATGGACCCCACCTCCCAAAACCAAAAGCCACAGCTTGAAAGCCCTGCCAGTTGGGCAATGGAGGGATTTTATATTGCTACTTACATGGTTTCTTTTTCTTAATTTTATGACTATGAAGAGGATTAAAAAATAAAAGAAAAGAAAATTTAACAGGGACTAGCTCTCACCAGCACTCAATCTCTATATTATCCTACATTACCCAGCACGGGGCGGCCTGCCGTGCTGGCCCGTGGGCTGCCACGGGCCATGCCATCTTCCCTGGTGGAAATTCTGAGAGTCGGTTAGGCCTGGCCCACAGCCCAGGTTCAAGTGGGATCGTGCTGTGTCGTGCCAGCACGCGGGCTTGGGCTGGGCCGGGCTGCAGGCCATGCCGTGGGCTTGGACCATGTCGGGTTAGGCCACAGGGCGGGCCTTGGGCCTAGGTTGAACTGGGCTGCACTATTTTTTTATTTTGAAAATTTTCATTTCTTTTCTAAGTAAAATTGTAAAACAAAAATATTTAACTTTCCTATGAACTTTGGGAATTAGGAACTATTTAAAAAATTAAGAAATGAGAAATCTAAGTTATTTAA